AAAATAAAGTAGAAGTGTCTTATATTCCAGTGTACTGGAAATTTTATTTCATCGGGCCATGTAGAAGGCATTCATTAGTGAAGTCAACTTATGATTATTACAGGTATGTAATTTCTTGGTGTTTCTTACGACTTGACTTGTATGTAATTTGAGAGAACAAATTGTATACGAATTAAGCTGCAAGGAGCATTCCATATTTTTGATTATTAAACGTAGGGTTCCCTGTGATTACTTCACAATTTGTAACTTCAGAATTTGTAAATTTGTTTTTAGTGAAAAACTTTTTTATGTTGCTGTTGCGATCCTATATTTGTATGTCTTTACGGGTCATCTGATCTTCCAAAAGCTTCTTTAGAATGTTATGCACAGATTAATAATGAAAATTAGTGAAATTTACCTCGTTTGTATTTTCAGTTTTACGAAAACAGAATTTCTTTAAAAAACTACAAATTATTATTTTAATTTCCAGCATCGCAAAGCGCATCCCAATACATTGGCGTGGCCCAGCACCAAAGGCCATCCAGTTCCTTTTCTGAATTGTGGTACAATTTAGAAACCTGAAATCCTTTGAGGGTTAATTGAAATTTGAATTGTTTTGCTTCCTAATTAACTTCCCCCGACTTCACTCCCTACACCTCTCTTTTTATTCTCAGTTCTGCCCATCCTTTCTGTGAGGACAATATGGGTTTTCTTGTGCTACATGGAAGTTCACGACATGAAGGTTTTAAAAGCAGGGTTGAACCGAAAATATTCTTCCAGCTTCTTTGATTCACTTCTTTCTTTCTAAGTGGAAGTTTCGAAACACAGCTTCTAAGTGGAGATTGTAACCTGTCAGGTATGAATTTTTTGACATCGCTGCCCCATATTTCGTCATCGTAATGTAAGCTCCAAGTGTCGAAAATGACACCCACACCTTTCTTAAATGTGTAAGGTCCTATTTTACACTGTTGGACACAAGTGCGAGACTGTAACCTGCAAATGAAAGCAGATGTTCCTTTATTATACAAGGTAAAAAAAGCATTTGGGTGAAATGTCTTAAAAAGATTAAAGGATTTAAAATAACATTTTAGAATTTAATGTTTTTATTATTGTTTTTATTATTGACAAGGCTAAAACTTTGCCTGAATGACATCTAACTTCTGTTACGCAAGATTTCGAATTTCAGTTTGCATTTCAGTAACGAAATTGATGGTCAAGCGCTCACAGAGAAGCATGTGGGAAAAGTCGAAGAGTTTCCATGATTGCGCAATGAAGATAGTTCAAATGTTGTACATTATCGAATGTAATTTCATCTAACATTTCAATTTCCTGGCACAGCTTTTCCTGTTGCTCAGGGTTGTTGGCCAGCAGATATATTAAATAAGCTACGGTGTTAGCCGTCGTGTCGAATCCTGCCGTTGTTAGGAAGCGACACTGGTTTATAATTTCCTGTAAGTTTATCTGATAGAATAAAACCAAAAATTATTTTGTTATAACTTCAGTATGAAGTTAATACTTCTTTACAGTGCCTGTTTTGGTTCCTAACAAATTTGATAAAAAATTCACTCTGAAAAGCAACACAAGTAAACGGAAGGAAAGAATGGAAGGAACTAGAATTTTTTGAGTATGTGTGTATGTAAGCATGCGGGATATTGACATGGACTAACAGAGCAAAATAACTGCATTTGATGATGTATGTTACAAATTTTTCAAACCAAAATAAACTTACTCCGGGCGTCAATTTCTGGATGATTTTTATGTTTGCTACATCACATGGTTTATCAGCATCCACTTCCCAGTCATCCCATTCGTCATCTTCCACACATTTCATAAAGTATAAGAAACTGGAACGATCCTAAACGAAACCTGAAGAGTCATTCTTGCATGACCATATAAAACTTGTATGAATCTACCTAGAATCCAAAGCTTTATTTTGCAACCTGAAAACAATCGATTCATCTTTGTTGTCCAACAGCATTTTCGGGAAAATGCATAAATATTGAAGCAAGTGAGCCACCGTACTTATCATTCACGATGCTAATCATGAACCCCAAGGAGCACTTCGTTGAGTTTGTGTGGCGAGAACGAATAGACATTTGCTTGAATCTCAATGTGAAGGAAAGGTAAGGTAAGTCTACATGTAAGTCCCAGATTTCGGATGTAAGTTACGAAAGTAATTGAAACAAATAGACCTGATCAATGAAGTCCATTGAGATGACTTTGCGAAGATAGTTTGTATAAGTAACTAATGGGTCAACATCAAGATGAAACACTGTACGAAAAAGCAGACACAATTTGGTGTACGTTAATGACATCCATTTCAAGTCTGGTATACACCCTTAAAAGGTATTTTTTTATATATACTTATTCATATCAAAGACGACTAGCTGCAAAATATCCTTCCACAGAATTAATTCTTTAGCTTCTAGAGATTTCATTAAGTTGAATTAATTAAGAAATTCCTCTTACATGTAAGTAGAGGAAAAGGATGGAAACTTTGCAGTGGGCTGAATTTTTTCAGCAAAAGTTTGAGATTTGAGTCATTCTGTTGACAGCTATACGGACGACCCATACAACATCGTGATATAATGTCGAAGGTAAGCCTTTGGAAACGACTGAAATATATTTGTGAAAATAAGAAAAGTTATGTTTAAGTCTTTCAGTTAATATAAGCAAACGGAATGGTTAAATAAATACATAATTCAAAAAGTGAAAACCGATTTGTAATTTCATATCCTTCAACCCCTGCAAAGAACAGCAGAGATACATACGGATGAAGTTCCAACGCCTTCGATTCTGTGATTTCTTCTTCGAGTTCCATAATAAAACAATTTACAGAATCATGCATAACATGAAATAGCTGCAAAAAAGTGTATGTGAAAAATCCAGGAGTAATAAGCCAAAATTTCTTATCACCGGATTTATTGGTCCAAAGGAGCTTACTCAGTGTTTGTTAAAAATTAATCATGAATCAAAAACCTTTCGGAGATTCTCGTTCGAGACAGCTTTCGATGTCAAGCTTCGAATTCGTTTCCATCGTTCACCCCGTGCCGCAAATTCGTGGACTTCATAGGCAGTGTCTGGATGTGGACTACTTGGATCCATCTGATATTTAACATAAATTTTAACAAAATGCTAGCTGGAGAAATAAAGAACTATTTATTTCAATACAAACATTAGTGGACATCTTGATTTTAAATTTGTACTTTCAGGAAGTATAAAAATCCCACACAAAAAATACAACTTACAATACGCGAATGAAATAGATGAAACTGTTTAAAGCATATTTGATAGATAATTTCCGGATCCGACGTAACGATTGTTGGATGAGAACCTTGCATTAGTCCATAAGTGCGGCCATACTTTTTGGTTAATTTGCCAAGTTTCCAGTGAGTAGAATGTGATTTCGTAATATTTAAACTTCCAAATAACCAATGCTGACTCGGAACTACTGGAAAACCGCAGTCACGAGTAATACCCCATGCTTCTCGGTACCTGAAGTGATATTTTGTCCCTTTTTCGCTTCATTCTGTGACTTTTATTACTTTATTTGGCTCCAAAGAAATCTTTATTCCTCCCGGCTCTAAGGATGCTTCTCCAGCGGAATAAATTACAGGAAGATTAGGTTTCTAGCTTTCACTCATGGTTTTCCTTAGCGCCTGATGGCCAAGATTTCCTTTCTAAATCATTACCAGGTCGGAACAGTTTGCTGAAAGATCTATATACAGGTATAAAGTTAAAAACAAGGCCAACATCACCCCTACTCATAATGAATCACGATTCTTTTTTTTAAAATAGGCATACCGCTGCGGTATGTAGAGCAAGGAAAAAGGTGACACTTCGATTCCAGTCTCTGGCCAATGCTTACTATGAAAAACAATCTCACCACTTCCATTGTCTTCTGGTAGCTTTACTCTCTTTCATATGACTGGATAGGCAAATGAACAAAGAAATACTTAAGCAAGCTCTTCAGATTCCTCAAGAATTATCACCATCAAAATGGTCATCCTTGCTGGACTTCATTTCATCAATTGCCTCAGTCAATCAATCGAGGATATAACACACATTTAATTCCGGCGCAAGTCACGTCAAACTCTGATCTGCTGACTGTATTCAGCTTCGATCATAAGAAGCTGAAGAATGTTAATAACAGTCCTCATATCACAGCGGAGAGGGATTGCATTTTCCAAAAAAAGACAGATCTTAAAATAATTCATTTCTTTTTACTTCCATAAATTTACCTTTGAACCACTTTGATAATTAAACAGAAGATAGCAAAAAGTAATCCAAAAATAGAAAATAATGCCATTTGTTCGCGAAAGGTCAAACCAACAATAACCAAAAGGTATTAATAAATTTCATGCCGTCAACTGAGAGAAGCAAAACTGATTAGATGGAAACTTTTTTTATTTAATGAAACTTCCTCATTTTGCATTACATTCTGCTCCGCGATACCCAACCCCACCCTTTCGCCGACCATTTCCACTGGTTCAGAACACCCAGTCAATTTCCTTCTCACCTGTTTTTATTATCTTATATTTGCTGCTAGTGGGAATTACAGAGAATTCATGCAAACAAGTTATTTTAAATTAATTGATTTTGGAGTATGTTCTAGCAGAATACCAGACAACTTCTGCAAAACCTTTTGCATGCTTTGTCTTTTGTATGCTTTGCATTGCCAAATTTCAGCTTTAGTCCAAAACAAAACCATTTTCGCTAGCTTTGGAATTGTTAATTCATCACTAAACAAAAAAGACTATATAGCATCACGATTAGTACCTAATTCTATAGAGGGAGAGGCGTTGGTATCAAACTCCTTCAGTTCCATCATGTGAACTAGCTTGCTTTACTCTTCCCAAGCGAAAGATTCAATCGTTAACCATTTCACAGATACTGATTGAATCTAATAGCCCGAATCACTCAAAGACTGACTGTTTCAATTCTCCACAAAAGTAATTCATGAGAACCAAACAGCTCCCACCAATCACCATGAATTAGATTCAATAGAGTTCAGCTCAACGAATTTTAACACAAAAAACATTATAGTGAATCATTCTACCGTTAAAAGAAGAAAGCTGACAAATACAGTGACTAGCCATGAAAGTGGCACTTGAAGTCATCTTGAAGTCTGAAATTGTCTCTTTCATGTGTTCTCTATAAATCTTACTAGCTGCAATCGAGCGATAACTAGAAAAGAATGAAAAAAGAGACGACTTCAGAGATACCATCTACGTGTTTTAAAGCGCTGTCTGTTTCGAAGGGCTGTCTTGTAAGCCCCTTAAGGACAAAAACGCACAGTTGATAGCGATTGATTACTTCATTTCATTTCTTATTATTACTAATATTATCTAGATAAATGTTTCAAACATTTTACTAAAAAGAGACATATAAATTTATTACATATCGCAGAATAATGAGAAATTTGATATCTGCTCCAATAACACTGAGAAGCTTCACTGTTTCTATTCTAACAAAGAAAAACAACACTACATATGAAAACTCTCAAAGAAAAACATATAGCAAATATAATAATATACCAAAGAACCGAGAAAAATCCAGAACCTGCAGAAAATTTTCGTATTTTTCCTTCAACAACAATCTTCAATTCAAAAACGGGACGATGCAAAAAAAAAAAATTATCTCAAAGATACAGTGCAATGATGTTGAGATCAGGGAAACAATAATTTGTATAAAAATACAAAACCTATCAAAAGTGCACTCTCCATAACTAAAAGAATAAGATATCGGCGACTACGAACTCGTTCCTCTTCATATTTCTTCCGTAAAATGTTGTTTTTCTGTTGCTCTTCCAGAAATTTTCGAGAAATTAGTTGAAACTGAAAATTCTTCCAATGCAGTAGAATATAAAATTAAAATATAAATAAAAACATTTTACAAATATCTCGCAAATTAACGAGTTAGATTACCATCTTGTGCAACATTCCATTTGCAACCAGCATGTAGAAACTTAAACTTAACGGTGGCTATTGAAAGGAGTTAATGGTCAAACAGCTAAAGTATTTTATTTAATCTATTCATTGGCCAAATTATCGATGACTATTTTGCTTGGAGAAGATGGAAGAGTTGTGAAAATGAGAAAAAAGATTGAAAAACTGAAAGTTTCCTATAGAAACAATATGTGAAAAATACCGAAATCCTCAAATTCGGATCCACAGAGCTTTCATTTTCATCCTGAGCAATTTCGCATACTGACTGCAGCAAAGCATCAGCGAGGAAATTTTTAGTGAAACGAATTTCAGAGGAAATTACTTGACGACACATGGGACATTCAAAAACCTGTAAAAAAATGACTCAAATCATAATGAGCTGGAGTAATCACAATCGAGAGATAAAAAAAAATGACAAGCTATAAAGGATCGAATGAATCCGTTTATAAATATCATCATACAACTTACAGCGAAATATGTGAAGAAAGATACTACAACCATAAGTATAAATTGTCGACTGCTGTATACGGATTTGCATAAAAGCATGCTTTTCTCTTACTTATTAATCGACTATTATTAATTTAACATTATTAATTTATTATTAATTTAAGTTAGTCGATCTTGTCCTACTTTTATTACTAAATGAAAACAAAATGAAGAAACGAAACCGCATCCCGTTCGGAATATGAATTCTCGACAATGTTCTTGATGCAATTTTGACAAAATGAATGACCGCATTTAAGGATGAACGGTACCGAAGCAAATATACAAAAACAAACGGGACAATGCAATGCTGACGAATCTACTGTAATGCGTTCGGCACCGTCAATCTTCGCCGTTCTCTAAAACGCTATAATTTATATAGCACAGATTTGAAAGATTTCGTCTCAAATTGCTGTATACTAAAACCGCATATTCTACACCAACCACTCTTTAAATATTAAAATCCCTTCAAGTATTGAAAATGATATAAATTGAAAACGATATAAATTGAAAATGCATATGATGCACTGTTTGTCTTCTACTACACTTGACTTGTATTCTAAAATCTGCGGAACTGCTTGAGCAGAGTAAGACGCCGCGTAAGCATGGTAAGAAACATGTATTTTATAATACCTTTCACAATTGCAAATAATTTGAAAGGTTTTTTTTTTTAATTCGAACGAAAACGTAAAACTTACACGACTTTCTGAATAATCTTGATCTAGCTGAGCAATAGCCAAACGCAAACAAGCAAAAAATCGCTTCATTCACCTTCTCTTACAAAAAATCAACTGCAAAATAAAATAAGCTAGACAGAAATCGACAAAATTTCACTTGTACAAAATTTCACTTTTTCATTTTATATTTAGGCATGTGTCTGAATATAAAATGTTGCCTGTCGTTGTATGACGAAGAATGAAAAGGAAAGCTTCCATACATTTTGCTATAGCGAAGCAGAAAAAATATGTAATAAGTAAATTAAAAAAATAAAAGCCTTAAAAGTAATTCCCTAAAATCCCGCGAACTGTCGAAAATAAAATTCGATGTTCTCATTACTATGAACTTCAAAACTTTGAGAAAGACCATGGAATAGACTAAGCACAAGAGCAGAATAAGAGAACAAACTTATAACAGAAAATGCCGGCAATACTTTAACGATGCAACACTGAAATATTCAAACAAAGAAGGAACATTTTGGCTACAACTTATTTATAAGATTATTTACAATGCAGTGCTGAAGAGCTCAGATTCAGTTTTCTAAAAGTCAGGAATAACATATGCCAAATGCAATTTCGACGATTCATCACAACTCATTCTTTCCAAGTGTTTAACATTTGGAAAAAAAAGTGAATGAAACTTTGAAACTCCTTAATACAACTAATGAGATCAGCAAAAACGCAGTCTCATTTATACGATCAAAACTCTCGGGGAGAGGGGGGGGGGGGGGAGAATAAAAAAATTATCGACATGATTCATGTAATGCATTTTTCGGACATCGAAGGTCGAACATCAATGGCGGTAAATAGTCTTTCATTATTTTCCTGAAAAATATGAATTCCTACTACGTATTAATTAAGTAAGAGGAGGTAATCAATATTTCGCCCGAAAATTTTGATCCTTAATAACTTATACTTTATAAACAGCAGTATGAGAATTAATTCTTCCAGCTACATTAGCGACCTGCATTTTAATAACGTATTTACATCTAATTTCACTTGGATAGTCATCTTTCATATATAAAGGAACAAGAATAAACTTACTTGCAAACACGACATTTTATATCAAATACTCCAGAAAATTTTGCGAATAAATTTAGGACATATGAAAGTGTGTGTGCATTTCGAATATCAATACAAGGCATTATTGTTTGCATCAAATGTATATTTGCCTGAACACTCATCTTCCGATATACTAGATATCGACTTTCATTATGAATGTCAACCTAAAAGAAGGATACTTGAATGTTCCTCACAAAACCAAATAAACTTTATGGATAAGCCAAAACGTAAACTCAATGTCAGTGCATAATATCCCTGAAAAATGCAATCACATCCTTTCTAAACAGAGAAAATTATTATGGGAATCAACAAAAATTCAACATTTTGTTGAAAAGGAAAAATAAATTCGATGAAAAAAGCAGACCTGAGAAGAGCCAACATCCAAATAGGACCATTCTTCATGAGGAGCAATCATTTGCACGAATTCCGGCAGCCCGCTATTGACAACCATAAGCATTTTGAGTAAACATACATACTGTTTATCGATCACCTGCCCAAATTTGAACTGTAAAAGAAAAAGTGATCCACCACTTGACCTACAGAAGTTAACCAAGATTTCCATTTCACACATATGAATTTTTAGTTCTTTGATGACATGAATTCTGTAAAATCAAACAAGTCGAAATTTTCAATAAAAAACCAACTCATAAATATATAATTACGACATATCGAATTATGAATAATTGATGTTTTGAAATAATACATACAACGGTTACTTCAACAACTACATTAATGAAAGTAAAACAGTAACAATACTTACTTCAACAAGAGCTGATAGAGTACTTTTTTCCAGATATCGTCCAACAAGACCAATTTTCTTAATATTTGGATCCTTTAGTACAACTGTCAGTGTTTGTTCAAAAATACTTTGCGGTGATGAATTTAGTCCATAATTAGAATATGATATTGGTCGGTCTGTCATTATTGATCGTCGTCGATTACCCACAACAGTGCGTAGAAATTCCGCATACATTTGCAATAATTGCTAAAATATGGAAATTTTAATATGTAGAGAGAAATATGTGCTTAAGAAAAAAGAATATAAGGAACACAAAAATGAAAATAACATTGTTTGTTTCCATCCATGTTGCTGCTTCTAGCGCTTTATCGTATAATTCACCAGTATGTGGATCGATCTGCCCATCATGTAGAAATCGACTTAAACGTTCCATCTGTACTGTTATAGGTGTTGAGACTGGCAATTGTTTGGTATGCGATTCCAAGTTACTACAATAAGGAAAAGAATACCATTATTAACAGAATATGTCAGCTGGCTTTGAAAATGAATACTATATGCAACATATGCAGATCTATCGAAAAACCTCATAGTGAAAGATTATGGCAATCTATCGACCTGTCAGAAACCCATAAAAATATAAGAAAGAGAAATCAAATAAAGATATACTAAAATTATGCAATCAAACTGGGTATTTAAGCAAGTACAGCCTCTACTTCGCTTTATTGACATGATATTCTCCAATTGGATACTAATAAATGAAATTCAAATTCATAGCTTCCATAGAAAAGAGCCGTATTAATGATTCTCATATATTTTTGGTTTTCTAAGGTGAATGTATAAACCATCCGTAATATATCTTAAATACTTCATCATTTTACGAAACTCTTCGTGTTTTGGATGGATGTAACATACTTTCTATCACACTCAAAGAATTTTGTATTATTTGAAGCTAAATATAGCAATCCTTCATTAAGTGTTTCAAAATCAGATAGAGATAAAGAGATCCGTCGCCACACAGCGGATATATGCGAATAGCGAATACCTGTTCACGTATTCTGATGAATAAGTGGAATGTACAATGACATACATCATATTTCTGACGATTGTACATATGCATATATACTTGATTAAATAAAACTACATTTGTCTGAAGTCATATTTAAAAAAAACATACATAACTTGTATCAGAATAATGAGAAATTAATGGTACTGATGTGTAATACATATATCCAATATCTGAGAAACTTATAGATGTTCTATACGGCCTATAAACTACACATTACACCTCATGTTTCCATGTACTTACAAAATAAAAAGTGACAGCAAAACAGAACAGCACATTCGTATATCAGGAAATGCTATATTTTCTCGAGCTGGACATCAAATTAAATTTTAAACGTTACTAAATTTAGGAAAAATTTTAAATCTTCCATTTAGTAAACTCGATCTAGGAGATTTCAATGGAAAATTTGCAACTATCACGACTCGATACATAAATCAGAGCCTAACAATAAACAGAGAAAGACCAGTGGTGTAAATTGCAGACAGTAAAGGTAACAACTGCCACAATCAAATACTTTGTGGATACTGCAGCGCAATCAAACCATTACGGAACTAACTTACACTGAATAATCAGAGTTCTGGCTTAACAGCACGCTTCAATTTAAAAATTCGAATTGATGGGGAATAGTTGCCAAAAGCAGCGTAGAAAACTTACTCGTAAATCTGATTGATAAAATCGAGTCTTTCTTCTAGCGTCTTTTCACCATCAGAGGGATCACTTTCCCAACTACTTTCCATTATTCGGCGATGCACAGATATAACCTCGTTCCGAAGTAAGCGCAAAGCATTCAGACCTGAAAGTCTATTTTCAACAGTTTTCTAAATCTTACTTCAGCTTATCCTTCTTCACACTTTCTCATTTCTTTGTGCAGTTTTCGTAAAATAAAGATCTCTGCAAACAACTTTCCAGTTTCAAAATTCCCTTCAAAACCGCGAATTCAATGTTTTCTCAATAAATACGTACTTTCTCCATAACTGACCAAATAAAATTTCTATTATACCTACTTTGACAACTACACGGGAAAGTAAAATCGAAACTTACAGTGATCCAAATGAGTTGTCATTGCTTGGAACTGCTGACTCGAGAGATTACCTTGCATTTCACTATCTGAAAAACAACTTAAATCGACGTAAACTTCAGCCAAGATATCGACGTCCTAATCATGAGCAGTGAAAACTGAGTATTTAAGAATGTTAAGGAATAGTTTAGAGAGAAGGAAAGATAAGCGAAACCAGGAAATCCATGTTCCAAAAAAGCTGCTTCAAATACAGTTCGTAACGTAAATTATAACTCTTCCTTTTCAACGAAGTTATCAACTTTAATCACCACTGATACTTGAACTATCACCACTTCTACTTTCATTTTACAAGTTACAAAACGAAGACTTGAATTACCATTACGGTCAGAACTCAACATTCACTTGTGACCAGTCGAAATCCTACCGCGAACACTCCGCAAAACACCTGCGAGGTTTCGCAACAAAAGAAACAACAAAATTCAATTTAACGCGTCCCTATTCAGGCGTTAAATTTAGCACGGATCTGGATTCGGATTGCGAATTTTGTTTAGTTTTGAGTGCTAGTTGCTTTCATAAATAATGGCCGCTCACCTTTGCACCGATCAATTTCCGATCCAGTCGATCCGTGGGTGATGGACTGCCACGGCAGAGTGACACCACCATTTCAATTAACATCCCTCCCAGCTCTGCCTTGTGACCATGACATCGCCATTGTCCCATCTAGGAACAGTTGGTCTTGTAAATATTATTGTACCTTCCGCTCTGTTCCGCGTTGACTACGCCGAAATTACAGTTGATTTCCTTGATTTCACTGAAATGAGCGCAGTAGATCCAGCTGGAGATACTGCTGTTTCATTCGGTCTTAAAATAAATTTCAGCGGCACAACTGTTACCTCCTGTTCATCAACTTCTTGTTGGACACCTTCACATTCTGTCGTTGCTTGTAAACTCTGTTCCATGAAATTTAATTAACCAGCAGTGCTATTAGTATTTTATGAGATCTCCCAGAGAAAGAGATAAATACCTCAAATCTAATCTCTTCACCATCTATGACTAGTATTACCTTACTTTAGAAGGGTTGAGACTAGAGTAGAAAATAAGAGGCTTGTCTTGGAAGGAGACAAGCCTTCACCCTTCCTAAGCAAGGGAGACTTAAGATGACAATTGGATGCAAACCTCATTTTCCGCTATTGTCGTTGTTATTGATGACACATTTCTTGTCCTTTTTCGTCTGTGACTTCGATAGTTTTTCAGCATTCGTAGTTCTTCCTTTTGTCGTGCTGTGATTTTCCAGGATGCTCGTGCTCTCTGCCGGAATGTATATATTCGACTGACTACTTCCGCATCATTCGGAGCACGGTCAACATATGTTTCCCTTTTACCCATCTCTCCTCGTTTATTACATGACATTTCTCTTAATAGTTGGACTTCTTGCTCAAAATTAGTTACCTGGAGCCGCTTCGATAAAGACAGAACCTTTTTCTGCAGCTCCATTACTGTTATTATCTTTGTTATCTCTGGAAATCCTGCTGTTTTTTGAGTGTTTGTAAGCAGCACTTTCCTACAAGAAAACTACAACACTGCCATTTTTATTCTTTCCAACCATATATTTTAATGTAGCACTCAGGTAAATATGTATATGTGCTATTGGTATAATGGGAGAAGGGCAGAAAGGGAAGGTGGAGGCAGCCATCTCTGAGTTTAAGTCTGAATGGTAGACTGTCATTCAGTCTATACTATGGTTTCCTTCACAAATTATACCTCTACTTCTACTAACGCGTCAAGGCATAGAGTACAAAGTCCATTTTAAGCTCGCATAAGTATTCGGAAGAATCACTGCAGATTCCTTTTGAAATTGCTGCAGATGATGCCATCAATTTGGTCATAGTAAGACTTTTTCCTGCAGTTTGTTGGATTTCTCTTTGCAGTTCCTCAATCGATCTAGCAGGTTCCTGGATATGTTGTTCCAACAACTGGATAACCTCGAAACTTTGTTCAGTCGCTTATATCCATGATTTTTCTAGAATCTATTTACATCGTTATCGATTATCATACACAAATATGACAATAATTAGAAATTTATATATATATATATATATATATATATATATATATATATATATATATATA